AATCACTTTAAGAACCATAACTGAAGTTCCAGTATATTCTATTCCAGAAAAAGGGATAGTAATATGTTTGAAGCTGCTGTATCTTATTGTCTGTCACATGCAGAAATGCTAACCAGCTACAGCTGACCCAAATTCCATATACAGTACGCTTGGATGGTTTTGTTTCTCTTAAACACACACTAGACTTAGATGTTCAGCCCACCTCTGACGTCACTACGAACTCACTGAAGAGCAAACAAAACTCCTTAGGATTTCCTATCGTAGCCTTTTACCAAAAGGGCAGGGGGAGGCTAAAGAGTGATGCACGAGAAAAGATTATTTGCAGGTTAGAGGGAGAACACTCTATGGAATACAAAACTAACATTTTATTGCACAGCCGAAACATGCCTTTCAAGTTGTTACAGTACTGGGCTTCATTTAGAAGAAAGATTCTTTCAGACTGATGAATTCAATTTGTGTTCCCACGAATAAAAGAAGCAGACTGACTGGGTACAACAGGAAGAATGAACCATTTGTAGTCTAGAAGAATGCTGAACAGAACGTCACATTCAATTCTTGAAGCTCACTTAATAGGAAACAGTTTTAGCTGTTATACTCACAAAGAATCTAATACATGTGGAAAATGTTAAAGCTATGTTTGGTGTCGGGTAGGTATTGGAATATTTGATGCCATCTGATTGGTATTAAAAGAAGCAGAAGCCACATGGATTATATACTTTTAAGAAGCAAAGGTTACCATGTTCAGCTTTTAATTCTGTCTCTTGGCAGTTTGTGTATAGAGTAGAGACATTTTGGAGTGTTTTGTATAGCTGTCAGTTTCTTCAGAAATTACACAAATTACATTTTGTGTTGTGTTTTTCTTTTAAAATTGTTTTAGATTTGATAAATAGGTCCAAGGATATACTATGTTGCAGAGTTCTCTAGAAAGGTTCTCTTAATTGTGCCAAAGATTAAAAAATGCTGTCACTTAACTTTAGGCAAGAAATAATTGTCCAGATATACTCTGTTCACTAATTTAGACTCCTAACCAATCCTGCCCTTTATACCATATGAATCTCTGCTCTATGACCCAGGAAACATTATTTGCTCTTTTTTTTTTTTTTTTTTTTTTTTTCCTATTTTGCATTATAGACGGCTCAGGGCAAGGACTTTCATTTACTGTCTTTGGACACTGCCTACCACGATGGGGCCCAACATGGTTAAAGCATTTAAGTTCCGCCACAATATAATTGTTAAATTAATTACGTCACAAAATGTTATTTATCGGTGTAATTAATTAATATTCCAATATTAGCTGAACAAAAAATCTTGAATAAAAAATGAGATGAAAATAAAATTAAACTCAATATTAGATGCTGTTAAATAACTTCTTGTTACCTTTCAGCCAGAAGGATTATAACTTGCTTATATGTGCATACAGATTGATTGTATATTAATATTAGAGCAATGGGCAGAGACCTATTCAGCATGAGGAGCTCTAGTGTGTTAGGTGTTGTAGAAACACAATCACTGTGCCCAAAGAAGCGGGTTTTTTTATATATTTTTTTTTAATCTGTAAAGCCAAAAGTTTTTATTATTCTTACCTAATTATGCAGGTATCAGAAAAAAGAAGAATCTAACTAATTTTAGAAGCCCTCTAAGTATTACCTAAAATAGCATTTTTTGTGCAACGTATTGAATTTAAGAGTGATTATATTGAGACCTTCGAGTGATACAAGTGCTTTATGTCATTAGAAAACTGAGATCTTCCCCGTTCCCAGGGTAATCTGTAAAGTTCATCTCACTCTGTACAACCATGCAGACTGTACCTTGAACAATGAAAGGAACTATTTCTGTAACAGAAGTTTTACATGGTAGCAGAATCAAATTACGCCGAAGTTTGGTGTTGGCATAGTCACAGTAAAGAAGGATTAGTGAGCAGTGTGTAAGCAAAGCAATACAATTTTCTTGAACCTCTTCACTCCAGGAAATATCCATATTGTATGTGCATGTGCACTTCCATCCCTACAGTGAAATGTGCAGACCATAAAAAACTATTACCATGTGCTAAAACAGCAGTAGATGTAGAAATAGTAAATAGAAGACACACAGTTCAAACAAAGACGAGATTTGTACAGCCAGTGTGGTGGTAGAGCAGCCGAAACAAAAGCATTTACTGCTAAAGAATCCAAAATGAGGAAATTTGAGAGAACTGAAAGAAATAAAGACTTTCCTTTCTCCCATAGTTTTGCACAGTTTTCCTTACTGATTTTAGTGGAAAAATATTAGGAATAGTTATGATACATAGCAACCTGCTCTTAAATCAATAAAAATAATGGCAAAATTTCAGGGGGATAAAACCCATACATAACTGTCATTTCTTTACCATAGACAGATGTTTGATATTGCATCTATCCCTGCTACAGAAAAAGCTTTTCAGCACTTTTGAAATCTTGTATTAAAAAATAAGCTATTAGTGAAATGAATTTAAAACTTATGTTGGTAGATTGGGACATTTATGTATATATTTAGAGTGAAATTCACCCATCCTCCCATAAAGCATGAGGCTTTGCATTGATAACTCAGCCAAGCTTCGAGGAGTCCTGTGGCACCTTATAGACTAACTGAAGTGTAGGAGCATAAGCTTTCGTGGGCAAAGACCCACTTCGTCAGATGCATGCGTCTGACGAAGTGGGTCTTTGCCCACGAAAGCTTATGCTCCTACACTTCAGTTAGTCTATAAGGTGCCACAGGACTCCTCGTCGCTTTTGCAGATTCAGACTAACACGGCTACCCCTCTGATACTTGTCAGCCAAGCTTGTGATGGAAATGAAATTCAGTAGTGTTTTTTCACTCCTTATGGTGCATTCTTCACCTGCTTTATTTGTGGATGGAGGGCCCCTCTTCCAACATGCAAGGGTTGGATTAAAAGGCAGGTGATGCAAGAGTCATGTTGGTGAAAGGGAGTAATGTTGCATTTGTTGCATCAATACAGTGTTATGGCTGTAACAAGGCTTTTGGAAGTAGAAAGGAGAGGAATATTTGGACATGATGTAATCACCTCCCCTCGCCCCCTCCATTCTTCCCACACACTGCTGTTAAATCCTCCTTGCTTTAACTCCAAAGTTGTGAACCTTTGGGGGACAGAATAATTAAGTTACTAGTGGTGAAGAAAGAAGATGGAAGAAGCTTCATAGATGAAACTTGGAATTAAAGCACAAAGTACTCATAATCATTAATGATCCTTAGGAGCTTTTGCAAAGTGAGTGAGGTAGGGCTTCTGGAACAATTTAAGTAATGGAGGTACTGAAAGCTGTTGAAGCAAACTGTAAATCCTGTATCTAATGGAAATCATTTGAAGTCAGGGATGTGACAGACCCCGCCCCCCATAGATCCTAGTTCCAGCACCTGTGTGGAGAGGGTTGTAATTCAAGTGTCCTAATCAGATTTCAATTTGAGCATATATTATGCGTAGCAAATACTTTACTTGTTGCTGCAATTTTGAGAAGTTTTTCTTCTTTTGAATTTGTTTAGTTGTCATAGAAAGGGAGATTCTTCCTTTGGTCTGTTTCAGCATAGCTAAGCTGGAGGAATTAAATATTCATAGAATAAAAGATAATTATCTAGTCTAATAGTAGTATATAACAGGCATAGAACTTCTCCAGATAATTTTTAATTTGATAATATTTTTTAGAAAAACATTCCATCTTTAAGTGATAATTGCTCATGAGTGAGAATTCATCATAACCACTGATAGTGTCATAGTGGTAGTTGCCCTCTCCTGTTCAAAGCTTATACCTTATTATATTTTAACACAATGAAAATGTTTAACAGAATTAATATTTTTGAACATTCTGTGTTGAATATCATTACATACATGTCAAGTGAATGATGATTAATTGTTGGATGAAACAAGCTTAGAAATGAGATCTTGCATAGATGCACATAGTTTGATGCCGACTTTGAAGATTCTGAAATGTTAATATTTTTCCACTGTCAGAGGCCTCATCTATGCTGGCCTGTTTTGTCACCAAAAACCACCTTTTGATGGCACAACAGTGAGACACTGCAATGCAACCATTGCTGGGGAAAAACACCTAGGTTTGACAACAAAAACTTCCGTCCTGGAAAGAGACTTCTGCCAGTAACCCATAATGCCTGCCGTGATGGCTGTGTTCAGCTTTTTGTGATTTTTTTTTTTTGCTGCCCGCTGACATGCACCTCTCCCCTTTCAAAGCTCCAGGAAGTATCTATGGCCACATCTATATTTACTGCACTCAAGATGGATCTTCTGGCATTTCATTTAATGGGTCTAGTAATGACCCACTAAATCGAATGCTAAAGGTTCCCCCAGTGGACGCTGATTCACAAAGAGTAAGGGAAGTTGACGGCAGCTGTGGAAATGTTCCCAAGCTCTGCTTAAAGCACATCAACTCCAGCTGTGTTTATGTAGCTGGAGTTGCATACCTTAAGCCGACCATCTAGGTCTAGTATAGACCTGGCCTGAGAGCTGAATGAGCTGCTCTGTTTGGGGAACAAAGGAAGAGCAAATCATTGGTATGCTCCTGTTCTGCCCTGCTGGGAACACAGCAGCAGGCAAACTGCAGCTGCAGGGGGAGACGTGGAGAGATTGTTGTGCTGTTTTGACATCCTCCAGCACAGTGCTACAAAAAAATTCCAAGAAGCGCAGGCATCAGCTCTGCCTTCCCATAACACTGCACTTTTGTGGGATGCTTACCTACATTACTATCCCCTTTTCAACAGATAGAGCAAAGCAATGTGTCCATGAAATGTCCACAATGGGAGGCAGAAAAACTGATTTGACCTGTTTTCACTTTTGGCAACTTTTGCGTGTTGGCAGCACTTTTGTTGCCAAACCTTCCGAGTGTAGACATAGCCAAAGAATAAAAGTCAGTGTGTGCCTGGCCCTAGTATATAAGGAAAGCTTCTAGTCTTCCACTGTTCCTGGCCTCTGTGGAGAGAATGAAAGTCCTTACATTCAAAAAGCACAACGCCAGTATTACTTCTTAAGCTGTTCTTTATAAACAGAGCTGAGAAAGGGGAGAGGCAAAACTACTGGACATGTGATGAAGAGGAGTATATACTGAATCCTCTAAAGGGGTAGCACATTACCCCCAAGGAGCTCAAAGCAATATTATTTGTGCCTCCTTGAGATATAAACCAGCACAGAGCTCTTGCAAGCTCAGGGCTTTTTCTCCATTGTGCCCAAAGCAAGATAAAAATGAAATACCCCTTAAGTGTGAGAAGTTATGTTCAAATTAAATTGCTTTCAAAAAATATTGAAACATTAAATAAAAGAAATTCTCACTCTAATCTTATTCATTCAGGTATTTATCTCTCGGACCTGACGTATATTGACTCCGCATACCCATCTACAGGGAGCATTCTGGAAAGCGAGCAGAGATCAAATTTAATGAACAACATACTTAGAATAATCTCAGATTTTCAGCAGTCCTGTGAATATGGTAATCTAGCTCATTTATTTCCTTTGCAACATTACTGAGGGCAACTGATTAAGTAAATATGTTAGTCTTCTATTGTACTTTTATTTATTAAGTCTTAACATAAGAATATAACCCATTAATGTACCATTCACATATACAGGCAGTCCCCGGGTTACATGGATCCGACTTGCATCGGATCCCTACTTACAAACGGGGTGAGGCAACCCCGCACTAGCTGCTTCCCCCCAGCAGACCAGGGAGACACGGAGCAGCTTTTCCCAGCAGACACCTCAGCTTGAGAATAAAGGACTGAGGGAAGTGAGGTGTGGGAGAATAAAACTGAGCTCTGGAGAAATGTTTGGCTAGAGTTTCCCCTACAATATGTACCAGTTCCGACTTACATACAAATTCAACTTAAGAACAAACCTACAGGCCCTATCTTGTACGTAACCCGGGGACTGCCCGTAAACCATAAGCACTAGTAAAATGAAATTCTGGAATTGGGCAATCCTCTCCTGTCAGCAGAGAGAGGCAGAATGAGAACTATTCTCTACTTACATCTTCTGTATTTTCAAAATAACTAAATACATTAGTTAAGTTCTCACATAATATATGAATATTTTCTTTCTCACACTTTCAGACATCATTAGTAATAAAAGTAGCAGATATACTTTCTGCACGAGAAACATTAAAATATATGCTGTTTATACTGGTCTTTGTTTTTAGACATTTCAGTAGTTAACAGCAAAGAAAAGTTTGAATGTATTTGTTAACAAACGTGGTCTCCCTAACAGACCAGTTTCTCCTCTGTTTGAAGCCTTCAGTGAAGTGGTATGGCTGGATTTATGACAGTGTAGTCATTTTCTTGGCAACTAAAGATCACTTGTAGGATCAACATAATAAGAAATGGGCTGTGAGTGGGACAGCTGTTACTCCAATAACATCTTCAAAATTCCAGACTTGGTACTTTAACTTCCTCCTGGACCAATGAGCCCCTCTGGCTAACTCCGTATCATAGGGAATATGCTCTGAAGAGGTTCACATCTGGCCTTCCTTGTGTGCAGAGGTGACTTGCCCTGCACACAAGCATAGTTATGGTTGAGGGGAACAAAAAACTGCAAAAGAGTGGTGACGGATTGTATTTTATGGCCCCACCTAAGGTCAGCAAGAGAAATGTCTGTTTGTATACAGGTGTTTTCAAGAAAGTACTTTTATCTAACAATTAATGACATTGTGATAACTGATATATTGTGTCTTCCCCAGATATTCCTCTGTTGCCTCATGTTCAAAAATACTTGAACTCAGTTCAATACATAGAAGAGCTACAAAAGTTTGTTGAAGATGACAATTACAAGTAAGTATGAAATTTTACAACTGACACTCTAAGGCTTCTTTCCTTTTTTAAAAAAGTGAGTTTTACGTTACAAACCTTGCATACAATAATGAGCAGGCAAGATAGCTTACTTTCACTTAGGTAAATAAATCCACACTCTTAATTCCGTAAGTCTATTTTTTTTATGTAAGGTAAATGAGAAGAAACTGCAGTTAGAAAATAAGCAACAGTAGTTGTGATTTAAATTTTTGCTTTAACCATGTTATTTTCTGTTATTGTGTGAGGGATGGATATTAAGAAAATTAAACATTACAGTTGGTTTAAAAAAAATCAAGGATAGTATCTTTGCTCTCCCATAAAACTGCAAAATATTTTCAAAGGTAGAAAGCGAACTGAACAAAATTGAAATGGTTTTTTGTTACTCTATTTTAGTAATTGTAGGTGTTCTAACAATAGAAAATTAAAATTGTAGAGTGGAATTAAAATTGTGTTGTGTATAAAGATACACAAAGTAACGAATGGTAAAGAGAAGGTAAATTTGACATTCCTATCTACACTTTCTCACGTAAAAAGTAAGGGGTATATAATAGACTGGAAAGCAATATATTTACATTTGATAAAAGAAAATTGTAATACAACACTTAATGTATAGCTCATTTGCCATAAGATATAATTGATTCTGATACTTTAGCAGAGTTCCAAAATGAACTACATGTATCTGAGTAACAAGAACATCCATAGGTTTATGAGAGTTTAAAAATTACAAGGTATATAAATTGTCATGCTTCAGGGCGTAAGCCAATCAGCTAGAAAGAAAATTCCACATAAGGAAGCTATTTTCTAATTGTGTTTTAGAGATTCTTATACTTTCTTGTGAACCATCTGGCATTGACCACAATCAGAGATTAGATGTAGTGAATTGATCCAAAGTAGCAATTCTTACATTCATTTTATGGACTAGGGAAGTCAGTGGAGCTGAGTAATGTGGTTTAACCAAATGAGGAACATACACCTTTTGTGTATTGAGAAAATTGTGGAGATGATGATCTTAAATCTCTCGAAGGTAAAAGAAGATGGCCATAGTTTGAGGCAACCACCTGAAACTTAAATCTTGTAACACTAGCTTTCTCTTCAAAGCATTACTACCCCTTTCTCTGACAGGCGAGGAATCAGAATGGTAACTATATATACAGTTAAAATAGTTTAAGTAACTTTTCTTCAAGACTTATTTTTAAATAACTATTTCCTTTGTCATGAAGCTGTATTGAACTGGTAATTTTAAAAGTTTAACAATATTGTACAAATTTATTCCGATGGCTAACAAATCTTTTGCTTTCTGTTTTCTAAAAAGTTCTTCCTAAATTCAAGTTAATTTAAAAATTAATTCACCAAAATGTTTAGCAAGCACCAGACCTAATCTGAAAAAAGCAGTTTGCAGCTTTCTTATGGTATTGAAGATAGCATGGGAAAAATAAAGAGCTGGAATTATTAACTTAATCAACATGATTATATATTGTACCAAAAAATCTACGGAAGGATATTTCATTTGTTTTTTAAAATAGTAGAGCACATTTCACTGGTAATGTTTACCATTTCACATAACACATGAACAAGAGGTCATCCAGTAAAATTAATAGGTAGCAGTTTAAAGCAAAAAAGTAGAAATACTTTTCCCGGAATGCACAGTTGACCTGTGGGACTTATTGGCAAGGGATGTTGTGAGTACCAAAAGTATATTAGATTAAAAAAGAATTAAATAAGTTTATGCACGATAGGTCCATCAGTGGCTGTTAATCAAGATGGTCAGGGATGCAACTCCATGCTTTGGGTGTGTCTACACCTCTGACTTGCTACACCTTGAGATTGAAAGAGGGAATGGATTACTTGATAAATTCAGTTGCTGTCTCTTGTTCACTCCCTCCGAAGCATCTGGCACTGGCCACTGTCAGGGTACTGGGTTAGATGAATAATTGAACTGACCCAGCGTGGTCATTCTTATGTCTTTATAGGTTAAAACTTTTATCATGGTTTCCGAAAAAATTAAAACAGAAATCAACAAATGACTTTGTCTACTGTAACTCTTGCACATGCGCTTTTATTGTATTTTCAGATATAGAAAGCAGCACAATAAATATAAACGTGTGTTAAGTAAAAGAAAATATGTGAATTGGTTGTTGTCCCTTTTTGGTTGTGAGTGATATTCATATCTGAAATGCCTAGTACATGTATAGCCTTTCTTAAACTTATGGTAGCAAACTTATTTCAGCATAAGACAAAAAGTTAGCTTTCAAAGCCTTACATTAAAATACTTCAGGTTCCTGATCAATTAATACTTCAACTTCTATTCTTTTTTTAATGTAGGCTTTCATTAAAGATAGAGCCAGGAACCAGCACCCCACGTTCTGCTGCGTCCAGAGAAGATTTAGTAGGTAAATGCTTATTAATTATCAAATGCTTATAAATTTGAAATCCATTCTCCACTGCTTTTGAGATGCTGGTAGAAAAAATATTTTCCTAAAAATAAAGTGAGAGAGAAGATTTACAAACTATATTGGTCATAAAATTCTACATTTTATTCTGTATGTAGACTCTGATTGTCATAGGAAACTGAATCAGTTCCTTGGTTTAAATATTACATTTAAGTTCAAATTTAAATATTCCTTGTCTGTTTTGTCACACTAAATAGCTTCATATTTGCTGTTTTCCTTTTAAATTTATTTTCTTTCTTAGAGCAGTGACCTGTCAAAGTGTATATCTTGTTTGAGCTGCAGCATCCAAAATGTACTTTTAAAAAAATTTTATGGTAGGATTTTCAATCCAATAATTTTCAAAAGAACTTATGTTCCAAATTCAGCTGAATGCTTTTGAAAATCCTACTCTTAGACTAAAAGTACAATTATTTCTTTAAAGTAAAAAATTTAATATGTTAAGGAGCAGCTTCTAATATATAATAAAAGAAATGCCATTAAAGAAGATATCTTGTTAATTAGCAAAAGATTCAAGTTATATAAAGAACTGGTGTAACCACTTATTTTTACAGCAAAATGATTATTAAAATTTAGTTCCAGGGTATGCAGTAACACAAAATGTATAGAATTAGGGCTGGAAGGGACTCTGAGGAAATCATCTAATTCAGCCTTCTGCTTTGAAACAGTATGGTTTCAGTGCTTTGACAGGTGTTTAAAAATCTCCCATGACAGGGATTTCACAAACTCCTTTGGTAGCCTGTTCCAGAGCTTAGCTGTTTTTATACAGGAGAAGCTCAGTAGTTACAAACACTTCTGGAATGGAGGTATTTTGTAACTAAACAAAATCTTATGATTTACAACCGAACGTTGACCTAATGCAGGTTTGAAACTTGACAATGCAGAAGAAAAATGCTGCTTTTCCTGAATTTTTAGCACAGTATTGCACCACATTTGGTCTTTGCTGCTGCCTGACTGTATACTTCAGGTTCCAAATTAGATGTGCAATTGACTAGTCTGTTCATAACTCAAGGTTCCCCTGTAATTAAAAAGATTTTCATGCTACTTAATCTAAATCTTCAGATTAAACCCATTATGTCTTGTCCTATGTTTAGTGGATATGGAAAACAATTTATCACAATCATCTTTGTAACAGCCCTTAATATATTTGAAGTCTTTCCTTCTTTTTCTTTTCTCAAGACTCTACATGCCATTTTTAAGTGCCTTTCTTCATAGGTCAGATTTTCTAAATCCTGTATCATTTTGGTTGCTGTCCTGTGGACTTTCTAGCTAGTCCATGCTAGATAGTCTTTCCTAAAATGTGGTACCCAAAACTGAACATTACTCCAGCTAAGGCCTCACCAGTGCCAAGGAGAGTGGGGCAATTACGTTTCATGTCTTACATACACATTCCTGTTAACACATGTCTGAACAGTATTAGCCTTTTTTCTAGCTGAACCACATGGTTGCCTCATATTCAGTTTATGATCCACTCTAACTCCCAGATCCTTTTCAGCAATACTAATGCCTGACCAAATATTGCCCATTTTATATGTACGCGTCAGTTTTTCTTCATTGCACTTTATTGAATATTATCATGTTGATTTCTGACCAATTCTGTAATTTAAGTCACTTGCAACCCCTCCTAGATGTCATCTGGATTTTTTTTAAAGGATACTCTTCACTTCAGCTAAATAATTAATAAAAATATTGAATGGTACTGGGTATGGATGTTAACTATTGATTATTTTACTTGTCGAGTAGTTGATGGAATTTCCATCGACTACTTGACTAGTCGATAGGCATTTCTGCATTCCTCCTTTGAAATGTACAAGAGCCCCTGCTGCAAAACTCCTGCTGATTCTGGGCTGCACATGGCGTGCCAGCTTTGAAGTGTACAAGAGTCCCCAGTGGGGGCTCTTGTGCATTTCAAAGTGGCAGTGCAGCATGAGTTTGTGATCGATTTGAAATACCACGCAGATGACTGGGGTTCCATGCAGCATTTCCTCAGAACCGGGGGTCATCTGGGGACTCCCCAGCTGATCCTGGGTTCCGCAGAAATGAGGGCTCCATTTGCAGCAATGCCGTGCAGCTGATTCCAGGATAGAGGTAGGTTGGTGGACGGGGAATCGACTAGTCGACTGCCCGTCCGATAAGCATTTGCTTATCAGATAATCGACTAGGGCTATGTCTACACAAACGGCTGTTTCTTCCAAAAAAAAAAAAACCCTTCACTTACGTCCACATTGAAATCGTGTTCTTTTGAAAAAAAATCGAAAGAACAGAGCGGATTTTCTGACATTGGTAAACCCTTTTCTATGAGGAAGAAGCCTTTTTCCGAAAGAGCTCTTTCGAAAAAAGGCGTGTGTGGACGGGGAAGAGAGAGTTCTTTCGAAAGAAGAGGAAAAAGCAAAGGTGCCCTGGTGGCCACTCCGTCCATAGCAATCACAGTTTAAATGTGCGAGAGCATCCATTCAGTGTGTACGCTATCTTTCAAAAAAGCAGATTGCTTTTTCGATGTGCTTTGGCAGTATGGATGCTCTCTTTCAGAAGAAGTTTTTCTGGAAGATCTCTTCCAGAAAAGCTTCTTTCGAAAGAAGCCTGTAGTCTAGACGTAGAGTAGTCAACTAGTCCTTAACATCCCTGGTATTGGGTACTAACGGCTGACTCTTGCCAAACTCCGCTGGAGTCAGCCTCCAAGTTTGGTAGCAATCATTGATAACTGTCTGATTAGTCTTTTAGCCAGCTTTGGAACTACCTTGTAGTAATTTCAGTCACACCACATTATCTTAATTTCTTTATGAGACTGTCACATGAGACTTTTCAAAAGCCTTACTAAAATCAAGATGACATGTCACCATCGTTCCTGATATCCATTAGGCCAATAACTCTGTCAAAGAAGGAAATCAGGTTGGCTTGGCATGATTTATTCTTAATAAATCAAGGCTGGCTATTACTTAACATCTTATTATCTAGGTGCTTACAAACTGATTATTTAAAAAAATGTTTGCAGTATCTTTTCAGGTATCAGCATTAAGATAACTGGTGTATAATCCCCCTGGGTCCTCTGCATTCCCCTTTTTAAATACAGTTGCTGTGTTTGCTCCTTTCTGTCCTCGGGGGCATCATGCATCCTCCATGATTTCTTCAAAATAATTACTACAGTATGTGTCTTTAAGTTACAAGATACTTTTAAAAAATTGTATTTGGTTAATTCTAGAATTGTAGGACAAGAACAGGTCTTGAGAGGTCATCTAGTCCAGTTACTTATGCTAACAGCAGGCCTAAATATCATTTAGAGCAGGGGCAGGCAGATGTTTTGGCCTGGGGGCCACCTTGGATAGGGAAATTTTATGGAGGGCCGCGTAGGGAAGGCTTAGGAAGGCTGTGCCTCCCCAGTCAGTGAAGGATGACCTTAGGTCATGCCCAAAACCCACTTCCTATTCAACACACCCATTCCCTGACACCCACCAAACGTTCTCTGCTCCATGTCCAACTCGACGCTTCTTCTTCACCTTCTGACTCTCCTGACTGCCCTTCTGAGATCTTCCCCCTATATGCCACCCAGAGTACTGGGACTGGCAGGGTTGCAATTATGCTGCAGAGCCAGAACTGTAGCCTCAACACCTGGAGCATCAGGGCTGGCTGCGCAGCGATCACACTACCCAGGTACTGAGGCTGGAGTGAAGGAAGGGGGACCAAAAAAGGGCCAAGGGCTAGCCACACCTGTTTGCCATGCTACCTGGGAGTTGGTCTAGTTCCTTCTGGCAAGGCTGTCCCAACTCCACTCCCTAGTGGGAGCTCTGGCCAGACTGATGGGTTCGAGAGGCTGGATGTGGCCCATGGGCTGTTGTCCTCCCCTCCGCCCCGGATATAGGCCATCCTTGACATTTATTTGTCTAAGCTGCTCTTTAAAGAGATTCTACAGCCCCTCCAAGCAATTTATTTCAGTACTTTAAGAAGTTTTCTAAATTTGTTGCTTCTTGTCCTATCATCAGAGTTTAAGGAAAACAATTTTTTCCCTCCTCCTTGTAACAACCTTTTATGTACTTAAGCTGTTATGATCTCCCCTGCTCCCCTGTCTTCTCTTCTGCAGACTAAACAAACCCATTTTTTATCTTTCTTCTTAGTTATGTTTTCTAGACTTTTAATTATTTTTGTTCCTTCAGTTGTTTGTCTACATCTTTCCTTAAATGTGGTTTCCAGAACTGGACACAGTACTTAAGATGAGGCCATATCAGTGTGAAAGGATTACTTCTCTTGTGCTGCCTACAACACACTACATCCTGGAATGAACTTTTGGGTTGTGATTTTGTTTTGTCGTTTGTTGTCTTGCAACAGTATTACACTGTTTACTGATATTTAGCTTGTGATCAACTATAACTACGGCCCTACCAAATGCACAGACTATTTTGGTCAATTTCATAGTTACAGGATTTTAAAAATAAATGTCATTATTTCAGATATTTAAATCTGAAATTTTACAGTGTTGTAACTGAGTTCTGAGCCAACTCTGAAAGCAGCAGCACAGAAGTAAGCATTTTATGGTATGGGATTGTCATCTGGACTTCTGTGCTGCAGCTGGTGAGGTGCTTCTTTCAGAGCTGTGTGCCTGGCCAGCAGCTACTGTTCTCCAGCCACCCAGATCTGAAGAAGAATTATTGTGACATATCCCCCCCCACCATTACCGTCCCCACACACAATAACCTTGGCTATGTCTGGACTAAATCCCTCTTTCGAAAGAGGAATGTAAATTAGGGAGATTGAAAGTGCAAATGAAGCACGGATTTAAATATCCCATGCTTCATTTGCATATTTGCGTCCAATCGTTTCAAAAAAGGGTATTTTGAAAATGAAACCACAGCCCAGACGTGGTTCTTTCAAAATACCCTTTTTCGAAACCATGTTCGGACATGAATATGCAAATGAAGCACGGGATATTTAAATCCATGCTTCATTTGCACTTTCAATCTGCCTAATTTACATCCCTCTTTCGAAAGAGATGTCGTTTAGACGAGCCCCTTGTTGCTCCCTCAACTCTCTTTTGGGTAGGGACCTTGAATTTGAGGAACACTGGTCTTCCCTGTGAAATCTGGTCTTTTTGTTTACTTTTACCCTATATTATACAGATTTCACAGGGGAGACCAGAATTCAGTCTGTCTCCGTTTTCCCAGCCATGGATTTGGTAGGGCCCTAACTATGACCCCCAGATCCCTTTCTGCAAGAAGTCTATCTCCAATTACCATATCCAGCTCAGTTGGCATGCTCTACCAGATTCCTTAAAGCATGGGTGGGGAACCTTTTGGGGGGCTGCTAACCCACAGAAAAATCAGCTGGGGGCAATTCAAGTGAGAAGCAAAACAAAAACTCCTCACTGACATGGCCCCCAACTGAGAAGGAGAAAGATACTCCGCACATTCCCCTCACACACCAAACCCTAGGGGGGCTCAGGCTAGTAGATTGTGTGGGGCTAGAGCGCCAGCACAGGCTCTCCAATGTTGGGGAGGAGCCTTGAGCCTCAGAGACCAGATCCAGACAAGCTAGGGGCCACATCCAGACCTGTGGCCTTAGCTTCCCCACCTCTGCCTTAAAGACACTATTTTAGTTCGTACAAGCAAAGGAGCAGAATTAATGTGGTGGTTGGAATCTTGAATCTGAATTTCTTGATCTATGTGCAATAAAATAACAAAGTTATTATTTTCTGAAAACCTTACCCATCAAGAAATCAGATTGGGGTCCAATGCTTTCAAAACCAGTAAAGTTCCTATTAAGATAAAGTTGAATGTGCTTCTCCTGTTTTATTTATTACTTTGAAACAACTATCTTAAGAACAAAAGATATGTAAATGTGCAATACAGTATGTCTACACTGCAATTAGAGACCTGGCAGCTGGCTTGTGCCAGCTGACTCAGGCTAACAAGGCTTGAGCTTTGGAGTTTGAGTTTAGGAGTTGTGTAGACTTTTAGGCATGGGCTACAGCTCAGACTATAGGACCCCATGAGATGGCAGGGTCCCAGAATTTGGGCTGCAGCTGGAGCCTGAACGTATACTCTGTTAAACAGGTATGGGCCAGCCACCAATTTTTTAACTGCAGTGTAGACATACCCAGTAATTCCTTTCTAGCTAGCCTCTCCGTTCCCTGTGGATTTAACCTAGCTCTACTTGACCTTCGTAATGCTCCAGGTTTTTTAGCATATTTATTAATCAGAATAATTATTATTTTAAAATGGCGTAGACTAATATAATGTATGGTATTTCCCTCTCTGTGACCGACAGAAGGCTCTTTTCTTTCACAGTGATGTTTTAGAAGGACTATATGATGGTGATATCATGTTAATAAGGATGCAAAGGTTAAGACCAAAATAAACCTTTTCCTTATTCGTTTAGGTACTTCCTTTGTATCAGAATGTCAAAAGATACATTACTTGTCTAATGGGAATGTATCATATAACAGTTTGACTTTTAAAAAGACTCAACAGTTTGACTTTTAAAAAGACTCAAATATTTATATACTTATTGCTTTTTTAACAGTAATTATTGGCTCCTCTTAAACTGAATCTTAATTTTGAACTTTAGCAAGATCCTGCAATATTTTATAATTATTTTCAATAAAATACAATGAACATTCTAAAAATTGTATAAGATTCTTACTGAGATATATAACCCTCTGTATTCTTGGAGGACTGATGAATGGCATTTGAAGTAGTCACATTAGTATTTTTCATTTTCAGGATTTACTATTTTTCCTTTGCTCACAGGTTCTGAAGTGGGAGCATCTCCACAAAGTACACGGAAAAATGCTGCAGCTGAAGGAGCATTGCTACCACCCACTCCCCCATCACCTAGGAACCTGTTACCACATGGGCATAGGAAATGTCACAGCTTGGGATACAAGTCAGCATTTTATTTACTTTTAAGTGTTTGAGCATTTGCATATTGGACTGTCTTCTGACTACAAAAGTTTTTAATTAGCAATCTTCCTACGTAAAGACCACAAAACACAACTAATTTGCTGAAAGGAATTTGCGCAAGAAACATGGCTTCTCCATTCATTAATCAGTTTTTTTTAAAACTTGCATTTTCATATCTTGCTGCTTGCCTCTGAAAAGTTTACTTCTTTATCGCTAACCTTCATTGTTTTCCGAGTCAGGCTTACTCATAGAAGATGATCTTCCACACTTAGAGAACTTGACCTGTATTTCCTTATTGCACACACAATATAAAACAGCTTTTTAAGTAAAAATAAAAAAGATATGATATTTATGTAGTTAAGAGCTTTCATGGCTTTCATCTTTTCTGCATCTGGGTTTTCTTTTGGAATTTGCAAGAACAGATCCCATAAAATTCCAAATTTGTGGAGTACAATATGATTGGTCAGAACCAGAGCACCTATCTGCATATGAAGCTAAAATAATTCTCTCTCACAAGGTTGCTTGTATAGTATGGTACTTCAAACAGTAGATTATTAAGCTTAAGCAGGTAATATCAGTTACTTTTTAACCCATTATCACTCCAATATTCTCTCCTTTCCTTTATGCCTTCCATAAATTACACCTGAAAAGAATTGAGGCCAAAACAAAGTGCATCCAGATTTTATTCTTCTTCTTCTTCGAGGAGTGTCCCTAAGGGTGCTCCATCTTAGGAGTTTGAGAGCCACTGTGCCTCTAGACGGAGAATTCTGATAGTAGTGCTGTTGGCAGACTGCACGCATGGAGCAGCCGGCACATGCTATTTGGAGCAGCTACTCTGCATGCACAGCCAACTACCCCTTCAGTTGTTCTCTCTGCCACTGCTGTCTTCAGTCACTTTCAACAACCTGTTAGATTTATAATTAGTTGTAGAAATTAGATAGTTACTTGTTAGTTTATAATTACAAATAATTGTTAGTGTTTTTCACACCAAAAAAGGGTCTTTGCTCTTCCCATGTCTGCAGTAGTTTTTGGATATGCCTGGATCCCCAGGTTTTAAAAAGTCTGTCTTGCAGACTTTCAATTCCAGTATCTGAGGGACACTCACAGTGTGTCTGGTGCTTGGGTCAGCTGCACTCAACTAGTGAGTGCACATTTTAAAAAGCTCACAGCAAGAGCAAGGAAGGCTAGCGAGCTTGAACTTAAACTCCTGCTCCTGTAGTCACTCAGTGCAGCCTCTGATCCAGAGCATACAACACCACCAAGACATCTGTCGCCAATGGCAGTGTCAGAGAAGGCAGCTCCCTCAGGGTTGAGCTCCACGGACTCTACTTCAGCACAGTCCTCAAAGAAGTGTTCCCATTCTTCATCCTGGGGTGATTTCCTCATGAAAAAGCACTCTGTCAAAGAATGCGGCACCTGTGTCACCGGACCGTGAGGCACCGGGCACATCTAGCATGGAGACCTACTGAGGAGCGAAAAACCCGGCATGGGTCAGCTCTAAGGCACCTTCCAAGGCAAAGCCTAAGTAGGCACCGTTGACACCAACACAGACCTCCTTGGCACCAGCAAAACTGTTTTCCACCTTGGCACCAAGCGCCTCCATGCTGCCACTTACTACATTGTCAAAATATACCGAGCACTCGGCACCGCTGGTGGAACAGACCATACCAGTCTGGCACTGGTGCCAGCACTGACTCCCTTGGTACCCTTGTCATTTACTACAAATGAGGACATCTTAGTTACCTCAGTGCCTAGAACACCGCTGTTAGGCAGCGATGGCACTCCAACTACCTCTCGCTTCAGCTTGTCAGCCACACTAGCAATATCAATACCCCACTTCCTTGGGCCTTCACACTCCTCGCCACTTTTCACCAAGACCAACACAACAACCACCGTAGTGGCTACCCCCACTGATGCCAGTGCCAACCAATTGGCCATACTGGGACCCATGCTGCTTTATTAGCCAAGTACACACACAGTGTGATCAAACAAATGTCATCATTTATTGAACACTTGCTGGACAGCAAATGAGAACAGTACAAGGCAAATGTTAGTGATTGTGTACTTATCTCTCACACGGCACTCCAGGCTCCGCTAGATTCAGCGGATACAGTGGCACTCTCCATCTTCACCGCAATATTTACTGCTAGTACTGCCACTATTTTCTTATTTTGGGGGTTCTCCAGGGAAATCCAGGCTATGGTAGAAGATTTGCCATTTGAGTGTTTAAAACTCTTCACCAAATACACCAACGCTTTTCTTCACACCTTGAAGGACTCCTGGTATACCCTCAAAATCCTGATGATACACATACTTGTAACCAAGAAAAGACGGGAGAGATTTTTTTACTCAGATACAAAACTGCCCCTTTCACACAGTCCCAAAGACATTACAGCAACAAGCACAGACAATGTCAGACCAGAGGTAGGCAACCTGTAGACAAGTCATCAACTTTGAAACTCTCAACATCTAGACAAACCTTTTGAAGGGTTGGTTGAGGGCCAGAGAGCCCCAAACGCTCCAAGACAGCATCTGATCATCTCTACCCCATTTGGGAACTGCCTAAAATCCTTATATCTAGTACGATCACCATGGACAGATGAGTGCTAAAAATTGTGCGAACCAGTCTTTGCCTGCTTTTTTCATCTACTCCCCTTTCCACCCTGCTCTTCCATCCCTCTTCAGGGACCCATCTTTATGACACAAGCGGTCATTATCACCAGAACCCTCTTCAACAAGTTTGGCTTGCAGCTAAATCTGCAAAAGTGCACATTAACACCAAACATAATGGTTGGGAATTCATCAGTACTCAGGTAGGTTGTATGTCTGCCTCAAGATCACTCCCTCATCAGAGGTTTCTAATGCTCGCAGATCTTGTAGCAGCATCACAGGACAGGCCACAGGTCATGGCAAAACTCTGTGTACAACTCCTACGCCACATGGCAACAGCTATATCTGTGGTCCAACTCGCTCGACTACACATGAGGCCATTACAGTCATGGTTACGAACAGTATACAGACCACACTATCACCGCATCAACTAGCAGTTGTCTATACCAGCCAGAATACAGCAGTCACTATCTTAGTCAATATAGACAAATCAATGCAATGTCTGTAATGATATCCCTTTCCACCCCAAACCACTGTCTGGAATGATCACTACAGAAGCTTCCCTCCTCTGCTGGGGCACCCATATTAACCACAATACCGTTCAAGAACAATGGTCTCCGGAGGAATCTAGGCTTTATAAATATGTATCTCCTGGAACTCAGAGCGGTGCACAATGCAATTCAACGCTTTCTACCCTTGATTCAGAATAGAACGGTACAAATTTCTACAGTACTGTACAATGTAGTACATAAACAGTCAGGGCAAGGCCCACTAGTACCCACTAGGCTCAGAAGCAGTTCAGCTACTGAAGTGGTGCATTCCTCACATCATTCATCTGAGAGCCACTTACTTGCCAGGCAAGGAAGATGTTGTGGAAGAAAACATTGTCTTCACTCTGAGTTTGTAAGCAACAAGTAGCCAGAGGCAGTTTTATTACGAGCTGCAGCAAGGGAAAAACTGGTTCGGACAGGGGGGGAGTTCCTCCCCTCACCGAGGCAGATCTTCGAATACAAGCAATTATGAAGCAGTTTATATACTGTCTATTAAATATAATAACAATAACAATTAGTCTCCTTCCCATTACAAACACCAATGGCTAACAGTTATTTAGTTCCACCCTGATGCTCCTTATCTCAAGGTCCTTCCCAGAGTCAGCATTCTATCCTTATCTCTGTATGGAGGCGAGAGGCGAAGGCAGCGTCTAATTACAGATCTCGCGTTGTCAGGCCACAGACTTAGCCTGACTCTTGCTCTCTTGTTAACAAGACCAAGATGGCTGCACACAAATTCCTTTATTCTTTTTTCCTGCCTCCACAATGTCATGGCAGACAAGGTTAGCAGACATTTTGCTTTAAATCACAAGTCGGAACTCCATCCCAAAATGCTAGTCCTGATATTCAAATGCTGGAAATACCAGACAATAGATTTATTTGCAACCAGCACCAGTACCAAATGCTCACGTTATAGGCATCGGCCCCCAGTCTTTAGGGAGTTCCTTTACAATAAAGTGGGATGCGTCCCTCGTGTACGCTTTTCCACCACTGCCACTTCTCCATCGCATACTCAGCATAAAACAGGACAGAACCACAGTCTTTCTAGTAGCACCTGGTTGGCCCAGACATACTTGGTACCCTTAACTCCTCCAAATGACGACAGTGACCCCGTGGTGCTTTCCATTCCTCACCTTCTCATGCAGAACAAGTGTCAGCTATGTCCACCCGAGCCTAGAGACTCTGCAACTCTAGGTGTGGCTCCTTGCTGGCTGACATTGCTTGAAACGTTTTGTTCTGCATCTGTCCAGGAGATCCTCCTGAATTGCCGCACACCATCTACTAGAAAATCATATTTGCAGAAATGGCTGATTTTCCAGAAGGTGTGATGATCGCCATGTCAGCCCCACTTCCCTATATCCTTGAGTACCTTTTATTTCTCAAAGCCACAGGTATCATCCTTAGTTCTCTAAAAGTAAATTTAGCTGCAATCACAGTATTACGTCTTCCATTAGAAGAGCACTCTGTTTTTGGTCATCCCAGCATCAAGCAATTTATGAAGAGAATTCAAAATTTATACCCCCCCCCCTAAAAACTCCAAATCCAGCCTGGAACCTTAACTTAGTGCTAAGAGCATTAACAGACAGACCATTTGAACCCCTGGCTTACCTGTTCATTATTACACCTATCCATGAAAGTGGCCACCTTAGTAATCATTACTTTAGCAAGAAGGGTAGGTGAGCTTAGAGCCCTTATGGCATACCGCCTCCTCTTATATAATGTTTTCTAAAGACAAAATTATTCTCTATCCATATCCCAAGTTTCTCCCAAAAGTACCAACCTCCTTCCATTGCAATGAGCAAATATACTTACCTGTGTGTTTTTTTTACAAAATCTCATGCAGACAACAGAGAAACAGCTCTGCACACCTTGGATGTCTGCAGGGCAATTGCCTTTTATTTGGAAAGAAATAAGCCATTCTGCAAGTCTTCAAGACTCTTTGTTTCAATTACAGAAGAGGTCCCAAGGTACAACTATCGCTAAGCAGAGATTATCCAAATGGATCTCTGAATGCATTCAGTTCTCTTATCTCACCTTTAATCAAGACTCTCCAACAGTAATGCAGGCTCACTCCACAAGGGCAATGGCTTCCTCTACAGACTCCCTAAAGAATGTGCCTATAACTGACATTTACAGAGCTGCAACCTGGGCGTCTGCACACACCTTTACCAAGAATTATGCTTTAGAAAAAATACTCAGCCTCTGATACACACTTCAGACACTGTACTTTCTACGGTACAGATTGAGAGTCTGAAGCTCTGTCCTATGAGCACGAATACTGCTTCATAATCGCCTAAGGTGGAACACCCATAGGGACACTCTTTGAAGAAGAGAAGGTTACTCACCTTGTGCAGTAACTGAAGTTCTTCAAGATGGTTGTTCCTGTGGGTGCTCCGCCACCGACCCTTCCTCCTCTCTGCTTTGGAATGTTTCATTTCTGAGGCAGAGAAGAAACTGAAGGGATGGCTTGGCTGCACATGCAGAGTAGCTGCTTCAAATGGTGCATGTTGGCTGCTCCACTTGCGCAGCCTACCAATGACACTGCCATCATTCTCCAACTAGAGGCGCAGCAGCATCCGAACACCTAAAGTAGAGCACCCATAGAGACAACCATCTCGAACTTCAGTTATTGCTCGAGGTGAGTAACCTTGTCTTTTGAACTGTGCTAATTATCTATTATTGTAATTGAATGATTTCTTTCTGTGTACTTGCTCACATGACATTTAACATTTATAATTGTTGTTTAACGGAGTAAAACTTATTATTATTGCAGTGAAACCCTCTCTATTCCAAAAGAATGGAGAGAGAGAGAAAAGTTCCTTTTGTTTTGGACTGCTGTGCTCCTTAATTTTGTCCAACATCTAAATACCATGGTGTAATAAGTCTTGTATAAAAACTAAGACATACAAATACACTTCAGCGGAACTATCAATTTATAGTGGTAGTAAAGCCATTCTCACATGTGTTCTGTCCTAAAAGAACAGTAAAGGAATCACATAGAATTTATTATTATTTACCAAATATTAATATACAGGATGGTACCTACAAGATTTCTATTAATGGCAACTCTAGTCACAAATCTCTCTGCATTGCACTGGAAATTTACTCCAAATAATTGGTTTCAAAATACTTCTGGCTCAGTAGTCTCCAGTAATAATAATGTTTACCTACAGATAAATGATAAACTGCTACTTTCATTTTTTTTTAATATATCTTTTGTGTATTCATAGCAGCTCTTGCTTGCTTCTAAGATTCAGGGCAGTAGTTCTAACAGAGGCTTATAATAAGAAGCTAACTACTATGTGTTCATATACCCCTTAGAGCCCAAAGCCTCTGTATAAACTTGTATGAGACAGGATCTATAATTTCCTGTATCCTTCGGCAGTTCTAAAGTCCACATGAACTTAAAACACGTATCTGTGTAGAATGCTATTTTTGGAGAACAAGATTACACTGTTTTTCTGTGTATTTTTTGTTAGTCTGTGGTCAGTCTCTGTAATTAAAACATATTTTGATAATTTTTTAAATAGAAGCATTTCCCACCAAGATACCTATTAGGTTTTGACTTTCTAATGTGGGTTTGTGCCACTTTCTGCTCCACTCTGAACTAGATAGGATCCAACTGCATCATTAGCACTCTAGCCTTTAGGCCTATTTATGTCATTCTTTTAAAGAAGCAGATTCTTCATGAAGCATTGATTTTAAAAAAAATCCCATATTTAAAGTTTAATAAAAATCATAGAGTTTTTATCTGCTCTTTGACTACTCTTAAAAAACACATCAGAAAAAAATCTAGACCAACTTTATATCTCTCATGCAATAAGAATATTTGTATTTCATTTGTTCCAGTTTCATACATAAAATGAATACAGCAGAGTTTAAAAGTGCAACATTCCCCAACGCAGGACCAAGACACCTATTGGACGACAGTGTCATGGAACCTCATGCCCCATCCAGAGGGCAAGCAGAGAGTTCCACCCTTTCTAGTGGAATTTCAATAGGTGAGGCATCTTTTAAAATTTAGCTGTGCTTGTAAAAATGTCTTTTAGTACAGCTGTCTTGAAGGTGTGTACCAGCAGGACTATTATAAAATCAAAATAGCTTTTTAGAACAAAGGTAGGTAGCAATATGAAGGGGAGGGACAGAAGGTGGACTGTGTGTGAAAAGAGGCAGAATAAATAGCATGGCCTAAAACGCTTGACAGATCTTGTTTTTTTTAATTATTGTTGTTAAACCTATTCAATGCAACATACAAAATTAATTGTTTTACCTCTTTCTTTCCAGTTATTTTTCTAGCAAATAATTTGTTCAAATTATGCCAAATTAAAACTTTTGATCATTATTTAAAATGTGACACTGAATGAACAACAAATTTAAATTTAGAAAACAAAGCGGTCTGCTGACTTTGTTAATGAAGAGGGTAGTAGTCTTCAGATGTTTCAGATAAGCACACATTGAGTGTACACTAGCAAGTTATTGATGCAAGTTTCAGGCACAAGAATCAAGTTTGTTAATTATGTGTCTTGAAATTTTATAAAGTATTGCTCATTATTTTGAGTTCCAGATTCTGAAACAGTCTTGGTAGCTAAGGGAGTTTGAGCTGTATCCTTCTATTGAGAGAAATAGATTCTGGCAGGTTATGTGGTGATAGAAAAAGATTAATTACAATAAATACATTCAAAGTAATAGGGGACATTGCTTGTTAAAATTTTCTGCCAATTTTTGTTTCTAAATTTTCCCACACCATTAAGGGCTTGCCTACACTACTGCTGCATTATGTTGCTGTAACTTAGGTTGCTTGGGTATGTAAAAAAGCGACCCATGCAAGAGATGCAAGTTACATCAACCTAAGCGCTGTCCACACTAGCACTGTATCAGACCAACATAGCTTCCATCCCTTGCTGAGGTCAAGTAATTATGCTGACACTATTGTGCTCCCTTTTCACCATATCTTCACGTCTTCACCATATCTGATGCAGCTTTGCCAATGTAACACAGTACTGTAGTCTAATCCGTTGGACTCTTATTTCCTCCTTCTATCATTCAGAAGCCAGGCTACCCTTTAAAGTAACATTTTATGCCCCAATATCTACATTTAACTGACCTTCATTGACTTCATCAGAAGTTGCAGTTGTTGCCTATGAAGTGACTCTCCTGAAATACTTGAATTCCAAATGAGATTTTTTTAAATGAAGTGTGTGTGTGTGTATAGATGTAGAGTACATACATTAGCTTTCATTTTTGGCACCCTGTCAAGTAGGAAACAATGCCACAGAACTTGTGTGTGAATTGGCCCCATGAACTGCACTGTTGAGGTGTTTGGAGTCCTCCTAAGCCGTGAGCAGCCTGCTTTGGGAAATGAAATCTAGGGCCTAGAACAAGAAGAGAAAACATACAAATGTATGAACATACAAATGAATGACTTTGTTTTCTCCTAAACCTGGATCTCATACTTGGTATTGTATAAAGATACGTGTAAGTTAACTGAGCTTGTGGAAAGGGCATAAACTGAGGAAATAACTGAGGGCTGTGTACACACAAATTTCATTTTTAGTGTGTTACTACAAGTCCAAGACACGCAGCATATCCAATGTGTTGTGTATATGTTTATCTCTTAGGGCAGTATTACAGGCTATGTCTATACAGCTTCCGGCTTCTGCAAAAGCCTCTGCAAATGAGTCATGGATTAGTATATTGTCGTGCTTCATTTGCATAATTAGGAGCCATTTTTGTGCAAAAAGGTGCTGTGTAGACAGCGCCTTTTTACGCAGAAACCTCTTGTGCAAAAACAGACCCTAATTAATTATGCAAATGAAGGGCAGCAATATGCTAATCCTCACTTCATTTGCATAGGCTTTTGCAGAAGCCGAAAGCTTTGTAGACGTAGCCCCATTTCCATCTCATTTTGACAGTAATATTGTTAGCAGTAGATATGTACTACTGGGTCACTTTCTTTGTCTGCTTAATGTTGGTACTATATTCTAAATATTTATTTGTGTTTAGGCAGTTGTGTGTAATTGCTGTTCCAACTAAAAATTCTAAAACCCATTATGATGGACTTGTGATAGGATAGAATTGAATAACTTGGAGCTTGAGAATTTGTAGAGTAGCCTTATTCCATCAGATACTTGCATTGGGACCAGATGCCTGGCTGGGGCATCTGTCCCTCAGCTGCAGCAACTCTCTGCTGGGGACAGAGGAGTGTACCTCTCCCAGCCGATAGATAGGGGACATAAGAAAGAATGATGAAGTTAGTGGCCTGGGGCAGAGAAGTCGGTGAGGATGGGAGTTTGGACCGTTACATCTCCCAGTTGGGCTGCGTTGGGGGGGGGGAGAGAGGAGAGAGACTACTTGGATTACAGAACTGGGTTTGACTGCAGCTATCTGTTGAGAAACCTAGCACTCTCTCCCAACCCTAGGCTGGGCTAGAGTTGGGGAGCAAACTGTATGGTGTATGTGGGGAAAATACGGGGGTAGATGGGTGGTTGGGGAGTATGAGCTGTCCTGACTCCCACCTGGGCTGCAGCAAGACTCAGACCCTCACGCTCAGCACAACAGCCCTAGCAGGACCACAGCTGCTGGTGCAGGGGAAAGATACATGACACTCTCCTGGGCTGGGAGTGGGGAAGCGGGCTGCAAGAGGGGGTGCCAGAATTTCAAGTGGATTATCATGGCATTCTGGGGCATGTGCCTATATGAGAGATGGGGTACTGAGGTAACTCCATTGTCTCATTAATGCATCAGAGGGGGTGTAATCTAAATAAATCTTCTCCTTTCTTGTTGAGTCTAGTGTGAGGACAAGTTGGTGTAATTACAAGATCTAAAATATGCCAGGAAAATATGATGGGGGGGGGGGGGGGGGGGGACGTCCACTGTTAGACTTGTAGAGCAAACACAAAACAGCGACTTCTCAGCAGTTCTAGGTCAGAATATTTTTCATCTAGTATCAGGTAAGAAAGATAAAAAGCTTGCTCATTAGTTCTTGTGCAAGAAAGCACAATGTAGATGTAGCGCTTAAGTTTTGGAATTTACTTGGGGAGGGGTATTGCAGACCATGAAGGCCTCCCCCCCCCCTTTTTTTGTGTGGGTAATCTGGTATAGTTCTAGTTCCTGAGAGTCAATGGGCATATTCAGCAAGCACTCATTGTGATGCTAAGTATTTTATAGGATGAAGATGTTGTTTGCAAACTCTTTGAAGTATGGGTCTGTCTACAAACTCTGTAGCCATATGTTAATGTGCTCTGAGGCTTCTACTGTTTAAGTTGGTGTCACGCATACAATGTGAGGGTTTCAAACCAGAACTTTTATCTGTTTTTATAGGTCTTTGTTTCACTTGCATATCATGGATCCTTAATATACATTTAAAATACCTATAATCAAACAGCTGATGTTTTACATCCCTTCGTATTTTCAGTGTTGTCAGTTGTGATTGCTGTCTGTTGCTTTACTTTTACTTTTACTGTTCTATGTTTGTATCAAATTAAGAGTACAACCCTGAGTGAAAGCATTTTTCTCTCCTTTCCAGTGTAATAACTGTTTCTAGTTGACTTATAGATTTGTTTAGCATCTTAAAGTTGAGCTTATATGCAGATAATATGCATGCAAAGGCTAGTTTCGTGAACTACAAAAGTCTGTAGATGCTTAATTTTTGTGAGAGCCACTTTAGTGGAGATTCTGAGGATCTAGTGGTGTCTGGGAGTAGGTTGTTAACTTGGGGCTCTAGCACATATTTTTTTATGCTTTTACTTAATGCCCATGTCTTTGATTTATTTATATAGCTGTCTTCATTATGCCCCATTTTTGTGTGTTTACGAGCTTGAGTTGTCAGGATGATAAAATCATGTACTTTTAGGGTAGTGTTAGTTTTCTTTTTATTTGATTTTATATTAAATATACATCTAAAGTATTGCTCCTTGTTAATTACCCCTCATTTTAATATTTTTTTTCTTTTTTCATACCGATGACTAGTTTAAAATAGATATTTACTAAAAGACTTACCTGACATTGCCAGGTAGATCGTGGGGGCAGTGCTGTAGGCTGGGTACAGGGGGTGGGGGAGTGAAGGTTGTGGGGTGAGGAGTGGCTCAGGGCATG